TGGGGGTTCAATTATTTCTTACCTTTTCCTCGCAGAAATTTTACATCTAGTTCTAGAGAAAGAGAAAGGGAAAAAACGAATTTTTGCCTGAGCAGTTAGGTACTCGGCACTGGATCTGGCATCTAGCATCTGAGTCAGGCACTTGAACACTTTAATTATCCCACTTTGGCTCTGCGGACATTCTTAATCTTAATAGTCATAATGAGCAGTTTGTTTTAAGTAGCAAAATAGTCATTCAAGACAATCCTTATACTAAGCAGTGGAGCTGTCATTGAAATAGATTTTTAGGCCAAAACTGCCCTCCTTTTTCTGTATTGCAAGAAATAGCTAGGAACAACTCCCAAAATCGAATTAACTAGAAAGTTTTCTAAACATTAGAAATAACTAGCAAGAAGTATTTTTAATTAAAATAACAAAAACGATTTTGCATCTAGACTTAAAAAACCCGATGAGGAACGGACCAAGAGGACTCCAATCTGAAAAGATTCGCCATTGTTCGTTCAAAGTAGAAAGGATCCAAAAAGATCACCACATGGCATTGGATCATCGGAGGGATGATTGCAATAAAATCACAGACAAATTCGGATCGGTGTCAAGGCAAGGTACTGTTCATGTAAATAGTAGCCATGAGTTACTGATCACTTGAACAGCAACCCAAAAAATACTTTTTTCCTTCGGATAGTAGGCAGCGGATTAATTTAAAAAGAGGACTTTGGAGGAGATTGAACAAACAAGACCTTAGGTACCGTTTGGCAAAGGGTTAAGTGAGGGGTTAAGACTTAACCCCTTCTTAACCTGCCAAACACAACAAATCTATATAAGGGTTAAAGTGAGTTAACCCTCCATAATTTGCCAAACATAAAAAATATAGAAGGGTTAAGTTAACCCCTCTAGAGGGGTTAAAATGAGTTAACCCCTCAAAATGAGGGGTTTACTACTACTTTTTAGATGGAATAAGAATTAACCCTTCTAATTATAAAAAAAATAGTCAAAATCATTGTTATTCCCAAACACTAAAACTGATCATAAGGGCTAAAATAAAACTTATTTAACGGGTTAATAATTTAGTCCTTCGGATTATCAAATGGGCTAAGTACATTAATCATTCTCTTTAACCCCTCTTCATTAACCCTTTGTCAAACGGGCCCTTAGAGAATAACAATAAATTTGGTTTCACGCCTAACAACTCACATTCTTTACAGAGAGGTTTTCTCAAGACTCAAAGTATTCTTCTTCATCAATAGTCCCCCGAAAAGAGAACACATGTTATTTATAAAAAAACCTAACTGAAAATAAATCTCAATCCTAACCACAAATCATAACTAATAAACCAAAGAAATCAACTAATGAACTAAACATCAGCAAACCAACTAAAAAGCTAACCAATTCAACAACATTATTCTCATCCTAATAAAGTTTTCCTAATCCTAACCATAGCAATTCAAATCCTTTAAGCTGGCTTGCATCAAATTTCCTGTTGTTAGAGAAAACTCGACCTCAAGTTTTATAATTGGAGAGCGGAAATTTCCATTGACAAGTTGAAAGTATTGTTGCACGCACTATAGGGGTTTTAAAATTATCTGCTTAATTTGATAACGAGTACGCAACGAAGGATCTAGAATAACAAGCTCTATTGGTGAACTATTATAGATTGGAGGCATTTTAAGATGCACTTCACCTTTAGACTCGGGCTCTGGATTGAATCGAGCTCGGACTCTAAATCAACACTCTAGTGTCTTTTTGGTTCAGGCACAAGCTTGGGCTTCAGCTTAGGTTTGTGCTTGGGGATAGGCTCGGACTTGGGCACAGGCTCAGGCTCTGTCACTTGATTTGCTTCTGCTTTTGGCTCCACTTCTAGCTTTGACTCTGGTTATGGTTTAGGATCTCAATGAGAGTTCTCTTCATGATCAATCTCCCTAACTTTTTGTTTATCCCATTCATTTAAGCTAGATTTTCTTTAGTTTCCCCAGCGTAATCAACTTGCTCTGATATCAAATGATGAGGAATAGGAGTGTGGTCAGGCTTGGCATGTTGAAGAGAAGATGGCAATGATGATGATCGGCAGCAGAGGGGAAGGGCTTGTCCAAGGGCATTGGCGATTGTAGATGGGATGTGAATAGGAAAAAGGGTTCTGCTCTTGATGATGAACAGTAATAGATAATGTTCATCTGTGAACAGTAATATGCTACTTTTTTTAGTAGACGATGAGGCAACAGATAAATTTTAGAGGAACAAAAGAACAAGAATTACTAAGAGGCTACAGATAAATTTGGCTTCATGCCTAGTAACTCGTGCTTACACAAGGTAGTTTTCTCAAACTCAAATATGTTCATCCATAAATAATCTCCCTGAAAGAGAGAATACATGTTTATAATAACCTAACAACTAAAAATAAATCTCAACTACAAGACATAACTAATAAAACAAAGAAATCAACTAATGAACTGAAAATCAAGTAACCAACTAAATATCTAACCAATCCAACAACATTATTCTCATCCTAAGTTCCCTAATCCTAACCATAGAAATCCAAATCCTTTGAAGCTGTCTTGTATCAAATCTCCCCTTGTTAGAGAATTTGATCTTGAGTTTTATAATGGGAGCATGAAAATTCCTTTGACCAGTGAGAAGTACTGTTGCAAGCAATGTAAAGTCTTTAATAGTATTTGAAGTACTTGATAGCAAGTCGACGTAGGAGGATGTTGTATGAAGAAATCCATCATGGAATTGTCTTGAATCAGAAGTGACTCGAACCAGATGGTGTTTAGATCGCGCATGTGGATTTGAGGCTCAAATTCGAGCTCAGGTTCAGGCTCCAAATCTAGCTCAAGCTCTGGATCTGATTTCTGATCCAGTTCTAGTTTAAACTTTCGTTTAGGCTCCAATTTTGGGTTTGGTTCGAACTCTGGTTTTGAGTGTAACCTTGCATCTGACTAGGGTTGGGCCATTACTGTTGACGTTGCTTTAAGATTTGAAGAGGAGAGTAATACTTTCCAGTTCTAGTCGGACAACTAGAATACTTCTTTTCAAGCAGAATATTCATAGTTTCCCACAAACGCAAATATAATTGATAACCAAAATCATTATTAAACCACCAACCTTTAACTTCTCCTCTTGACCTACACTCAACATATGTATACATTTCACAATCCGACATATCGTAAATAGTAA